TGTGTGTGTGTGTGTGTGTGTGTGTGTGTGTTAGGTTTATACCTGCCTTTTGTACAGGAGCTCAAGATGGTAGCATTCCCTCCTACATTTCCCTATAAAAGCAACCCAGTGACATGGGTTTGACTGAGAGAGAGTGCCTGGCTCAAAGCCAACAAGCGAGCTTCCATGGCTGAGGGTGAACTAGAACCTGGATCTCCCTGGTGCCAGTCCAATGCCTTTGCAATATGCCACACTGGCTCTGAGACATCTCCCCAAACTAAGTGCACAACCAGGTCTGCCTATTACTCCCACACAAGGCTGCGGGCAAATAAGTAGCCATACATTGCATCTCATGCTCCTTCGGAATAAGCTTGCCTGGAGACGCAACAGTGCAATCATGCGAATCCGCCTCCAGTAACTGCATGGAGTAAACCCAGAGAAAGTGGGCATGCCAAAGCCAAACTCGAGGCACAGGCAAGGAAAGTAGAGTCTGCCAAGGCTATTTCTTGCAGGATGGCCAATGTGCCGCTTTCCCCAAATGGGATAAATATGCATTCTGTGCTACCCATAGACTTGTTGAACAGAGCTTGCACTCGGGTACCTCTAATAGTGGGCTGAAATTAGCCTTCCAATTTTCCCAAGTTTTTATTTTTACACATGTTGAAGAATACTGGTGCTATTTTTTTCCCCCCATCCTTGGTCATTCTGCAGCCTCTGTGGCTGCCTTGTTTTCCAGTCTGATTCTTTATCAACTCCTCCTTGGGACTGAATGGAAGGGTGGGAAGCAAACATGGTGTAGAAGACATAAGGAATGGCCTTGAAGGACAGGAGGAAGAACCGCTACCAAGGCAATGATCTGATAAATGGGGCTTGAGCCTGTTCCAAGGAAGTAACTTGAGAAAGCCCTTCCCTGGTTCACTTGTAGATAAAATGAGGGAGGGGGAAGCACATTCAGACTCGCAAGATTCTTTTTCTATAGCTGTTACGGTAAAAGTAGTGCTGACTTACATGGCATTGGTATCTTAGTCTGGTCTACCTTGTTAGCTGACAGATGAGTGCAGACCTCCAGAAAGCAGATCGTACAAGGAAAGACAGGACACTCACTCATACCTTTCAGCTACCTTGTATACAAGAAGCACCCAAACCCCAACATCCTCATCAAGAGAACACCATCAAAATATTGTCCCTTGGAAGAAATGCCTGCCACCAAACTGCAGGAGAAAAATATAAAGACAGATGGAGGAAATTTCCAACACAGGTCTAGCTACAATCCAGCCTCGCTATAACAGGTCAAAACTTGCCCCTGTTTCTCCAGCCTCTGCAAGGCGCCCAAATTGGTCTGCAGCCTTTTACAAAGCCACCCACCTGCTCAGTTAGGAAAGAAGGCTTATATGCTCCATCGGTAGATTTGTTCCCAGTGCCCCTCATGGACTTCATGTGAGACACTGCCATGCGTAGGATGGTCAGCTTGTCGGGTTTGCGCGCCAAGGCGCTGCAGGTGGGCACCATGTCAGAGAGCTCGGTGATGTACTGGGTCATCTTGTTCCTCCTGCGTCTCTCGATCTCACTATGGTTCTCCCTAAGCAGACATGAGAAGGAGCAAACCGAGAGAGAAAGCGAGATGCTGTCGGTAAAAGATGCAGTGCTTGGAAATCGGTACAGCAGATCCAGGTGGGCTCAAGGGGGTTGCGCTATGCCCAAGCATCCCCAAGCCTCGAAATGCAAGGCCGGGGGAGAGAGCCATTGTTAGAGGCTCTCATTCACATTTATAGGGTTAGGTCAGCTAGCAGACTAGAAATGCTTATTATACCCAGTTGCACCCAGTGGTTCTTCTTTCCCAATTTGTGCTATAAATGGGTATCAGTCTATAGGGATGCCAGATTATGGCTAGAGATAGAATGGCCTGGGGGGATAGTGGGGGGAAAACAGAAAAATTGGGTGAAGTGCCCTTGCTCCCCAGGTCCTTCTTGAGAGATTCAAATATCTGAGAAATGTTGAAGCCATGATAAAATCAAAGAAAGGACTGGGGGAGTGTGTGGGTGTCTCACTTTTTCCACCCCAGTCTGCCACATCTTTATCATCAATTTGGTCATTTCTGCTTGGAGCCTAGGGGTGGGCCAGCCCCTTGCCCTACCAACCATTACATTATCCCAGTTACTCTCACCCATTCCAGTGCAAAGAAGCAATGCACTTTCAATGTCAGCTTCCACTTGGACAGTGGGTGTCCAATTTCCACCAAGAGGGACTATGGGGGCTGGAAGAAGAGGGCCTATTTCTGTAGATGTCAGATCTACCAAATCTTCTGCTCCCCAGAATCGCTGCTATTTTCAACCACTAATTCTATCATACCATTTTGGTAGGAAACAATATTTTGCATTTCTTGCTAGAGGCACTGAAGTTCACAGCCAAGGTAAACACAGTTATCTCTTGTTTTTTCCCTTGCTTAGAAAATTAGGGCACATTTTTTAACAGGCACAAGAACACACATGGAACCCCCCTGCCCACAAAACCTGAAGTTGCAATGGAGGAAGCAGATCCACACTCTGATTTCTTGGCATGGGCAGATCTTCCTCCTCCACTGAAATGAAACAGGTAGGTCTTGGCAAGCCGGGGAGTTTCATGCATGCACTGAAATATAGAGGAGACTCTGCACCAGAGCAACAAATTTGTATCTTGAGGAAGGGAAGCAATAAGGAACAGCAGAATTCCAAACATGGGAAGAAAAACTTGGAGAACAAGGAAAACAGAACCATTTCCCACCCTTTAAACAAAACTTAACAGAACTACAGACATTTCAGTCAGTTTCTCAGTGAAATCTTATGTTATTTATGAAGCCCTATGTTGCATATAACAAGAACAACTACTACAATAGCATTCTTCTCCAGGCAACCCAAATTCTTCTCCAAGAATAGAATTCTGCAAGTGCATAAATGGGTGTTTGAATTAATTCATTTACATTTCATTCCAGTTTTACTCATACAGGAGTGAGGTACGTATTCTACCTCCATACATACATACACTTCCAAGCATATTTGCACAAGCACTAAGTCAGGAAACTTTTATAGGGGGTGGGAGGAGGAGGACTGGGGAGAGAGATTCTTAGCAAGTTCATTCTACACTTAGTTCCATACTCTGCATTTATCATGTTGCTTCATCTAATACAACCTTTACAATTTAGGTTACTTAAATATATCCCTGCCCTCTCTCTCAACACAACCAACTTCTAAAACAGACAGAGTTTGCATGCCTAAAGCTGATTCTCCATTTCCAAGTTTTCCTCCACCGAAGCATGGAAGATAACGGAAATGAATAGGGAAGGAGGAGGGAAGCATGATCCGGCCATGATCAGAGTGGCCAGGGCAGTAAGTGGAGCGATGCTCTGCACCCAAAAAGTGAATGCTGGCATGAGGCAACAGATTAATATAGAAAATGATAACTTGTCTGTTTTCAGATAGATTGCTTGTTTTCCACCAAGGGCCTGGGTCCCCAGTAGGCCATCTGAATGTAATTTCCTTAAACTCCATGCCTTACCTGATTCTATTTTATTGAGAGATTAACTTTATAAACATATTCCCAGGAAGATAGCTTGCTTTGGAGCAAAGTTCCGGCCTGGAGGAAAGACTGGGCATCACTTTTAGAAAATAAAAGTGAGAATGAGGCTGTAGCCTCAGGTTCTGTTTAGGACCGTATCCAGAGAAAGAGAGAAAAATAAACTGAGAATGGAAAGGATATTCTAGGAGGCTGCGGGGTGCAGTGGAAAGGAACCTCCCCAGGCAGATCTTTGTAACAGCAGCCATGAGATGCTCCTCAAATTCCAAATTACTCACCAGCCTCCAAGACTGGGGATTCCTGACATAGGGTTTATGCATTATAAAAAGGTTCCATGTGTGCAGGTATATCTGGATAAGAGAAAGCGATGGCACTCCCAGGTGTCCTCAAATGTGTGAATGCACATGACAAATTCCGTGCATTTTTTGTGAGTCATCTGCAGCACAGGACCAGTGCCTGCTCTCACTGTATCCGAGTATTCAGCAATACCTCGAGGGTAAGGCAGTCAGACAATAAAGCCATCATGATATATAGCTTCTCATGCCCATCCATAACATGGGCTTCCAAAAAACCACTGAGCTACCTCTAAGAAGAGCCAGGAAAGGGGGTGGGGGGAGCCAACCCAGGTAGGCAAGAAGCTATACGACGATAATTTCAGCTCTCTTTAAAGTGAAGACAAACACCAGCACTCCCGAGGCATTTGATGGGGTCTCCCCTAACTCTTAAATACATTTATCAATGAAGATCTCAATCATGTCCTTTTCCAATGTTCCTACTTCAAGATATCAAGCAGGTTAAGGCAGGCTTCTCTGTAGCAGCCCCTGGTTGTACAGTTCCTTCCCCAAATAAGTATCAATAGAGGTGAATATGTGTAGCTCAGGGTTGAACTGTGGACTCCAAATAAGTCTGCCTGGCACCAAAATTGTTATCTTCCTCCCAACCAACCAAATCTGTCCCTGTTCACCCAAACTTTTAACAACACTTATTTACTGACTGCCCCTGTTTTTATTCAGTGGCTGGGGACATACATCACTGCCAACAAGATGATGATTTAGGATGATGTGTAAACTCAATCATATCTGCTCTGTAGTCTTTCCCAACCAGTGAATTCATTTTTAGATTGTTTTTACTGCGAGAAACATAGGACACCGCTGTGCACCAGATCAGTCTCTTTGTTCTTCCCGACCGGTTGAGATTTTCTGCATTCTCAAGCAGGTAGTTCAGTTCTTGCTACCTGCTTCTCTAAAAGAAAAGGAGATGACAACCATCTTGTGCAGCAAAGCTTGGCCTTTGAAGGTAAGTTATGCCCCTAATTTTGAAATTGTAGATCACTTACTGCAGAAAGGGGATGACCTTCAAGCTCTATCCGTCTTTGTAGGGTTGTATTCACAAAACCTGCTACTAAACCACTCAACACCTAGCAGATACCTTTTCACAACAGGCAAGGTTAGCTTTAACCTTGATTCATTTTTTATGGCTTAGTGTGTTGTACCAACCCAAGCTGATTTTGGGGGGGGGGGGTTATGATTCAATACGAAAAACAGGTTAATTCAATAAGCAAATTAAGTGGGCTATGTGAATGCAATCTAGTATTTTTAAATGGATGGGAAGGAATATTTCCAGTTATGGGTTTGGGCTACATTTAATTTTCATCTGAATCAAGTCCATCAAGTTAGTGTGTTGTACCATCCTTTCTATACATTTCACAATAATCCACTTCTAAGGGGAGCTAGATCTACTTGCCTCTGTAACAAGGACACTTTCCCTTGATTCTACAACATCTTTCCATGACTGACCCTCCCTGATGGTATCTCCTAGTTCACTATTCTTTTCTGGATCAGCTGTTATTTTGACCACCCAAAGAGAAAACTAACTCCTTAGATTGAAATACAAAAGGCAGAACGGCTTTGTTCTTGTTCATCTTAGGATTATCCCTCCCTTTTTTCTCAACGCCTACCTTGCATATTTTTCCTTATCAACAGAGATTTGATCATCATACCTGCAAAGGAGAAAAAGAAAACATAATCATAAAATGATTCGTAACAAGAATTAGGATGAGAAAAACATACTGAAAACAAATGTCTTGTAATCTCCAGCCTGCTGGGATAAGCAACAAGGTGGCCTCCAAAGGTTTTGGCCATCAGTTCCCACCAGCTTAGATAACATGACCAATAGCTAAAATTTTTGCAAACTAATATATAACCCATCTAGAGAGCATCAGATTTCATATCTTTGGTTTAGGTTTATCCACATGAGTTTGCTAGATCCTCAAAGTTCATATATTCTTCCATGTCTGGCTTCACCCAGACTATTACACAAACTTGAAAGCCAGAAGGCAAAGACTGAAGGACACAGCTCTTGGATCACCTATTTTTACCGTAGATACTATAAAAGCCATAATTAGAGCAGAAAACCAGCAACTGCCAATTTTAAGTCCCAAGCTATAGGTACAGCACTCCAGAGGTACAAATTTTACATCTCTTTTCTCTGCCTGGGCACCCCAGCAGACTGAAAGAGGTAATTTCTCAGTGAGAATGACAGTTTATGTTGGAAATGTGAACAACAAGAGGGGACTTTTTATCATGCTTGGTGGACAAGTAAAAAAGCTAAAAAAATTTGGATTTAAATGCATACATTAATTCAGAAGATTTTAAAGATTAATATGCAACTGAAGCCAGAGATGTTTGTTTTGGGACTGACAAAGAGTTGGAAAAAACTCATGGAACTTTGTTTTTATATATGCTAACAGCAGTGAGACCTTTATATGCTCAATGGTGGAAAGATTTGACATTGCCCACAACAGAAGAATGGATCATGAAGAGGATGGAGTTTTCTGAAATAGCTAAATTGACAGCTTTGATTAGAGAAAAGACACTGATTAAGTTCAATGACGATCAGAAACCTCTTTTGGACTTTTTGCATAAAACAGAAAAAAATGAAATTATGATATCTGGGTTTGATGATTAGAAAAAATATAAGATGATGGAAAAAACGAAAGTTATGTTATAACCCTAGAGTAAGAGTTCAGTTTCAATGTATACCTCTAACTGCTGTAAAAGAAAATCAGAAGTCACTTCTTTATATTTCTTTTTTCTTTCTTTTCTTTCTGCCCTTTTCACTTTCTTCTATCTTTATTTTCTTTCTTTTAGCTTACATGTTAGTTCTTGTTAGTTTTATCTCTCTTGTTTAAAAATTTAATAAAGTTATTACAAAAGAGAGAGAAAGAACACTGCATCGTTATTATAATGGATCTGTCTGTCTCAGTCTCTTTATGTCTGGCCTTAGGCTTTTTAGACCTCAAAAACCCTCTCCTCTACCATACCATCAAGGACACCAAAAACTTTGCTTCCTATTTTAAACTAAGAACAGCTTTGTTACATTTTAACTCGCACTGTGGCTTATTTAAACCAGAGATGTGTAATTTTTTTCAAGCCAAAGGCCAAACTTAGTTTTGAGGAGTATTCTAGGGGCTACATTCCAAACACTGGGCAGGGCAAGGACAAAAAAGCAAAATTGCAGTTTCTTAAAATTAATGAAGTACAAATGTATACCACTTTCTCCCTGTGTTCAATCACTTCCCCCTTTTGACAAATTCAAAAGTACGATCCTCATCGTTTGGTTGCATTATGCAGTTTTCTGCTTTCAACATTTTGTTGATTGCTGAATGATGAAATAAAATTAAAAAGGAAAAAGGCCACTTTTGGCAGCAGCTTAAGAGACTCTTGGGACAACAGCCAAGGTTTTAGATGGCCATGTATATCCCTGTGACCACAGATTATGCACTGAATTTAAGTGGGTCACAAACTGGTCAGAATTACAAAGCAGGGCATGAACCTCTGGTTGGAATGAACCATACTTTTATCATAATATTGCAGCATTTGGAGGAAATGGGGAATGGTGCTGAGTTTAAAAGTAGAAGTGTCTTAAGCTTCTTGCAGCAGTACCAGGAAAAGCAGAGGAAAGTGCAAAAACCCAACATTTGTCTTGGCTCAAACATTAAGCCTTGGCTCTTCACCCAGGCCTTTGGCGAGGGAGAGTTCATTCCATCTGGTCTGTTGTGGTTGGCATCTTTTATCTTCTACTGATTTTATGGTAATTTCTTTGGTTGATTGTTGTGAACACCCAGAAGTGTTGGGAGTTGGGTGACATATAAGTTTAAATCATCATCATCATCATCATCATCATCATCATCCCAGGTCCTTGGGAAGGACTCGATAGGTGGATAAAAATGCCAAATCCAGTCTAGACATCTGGCTGACTGTGTGACCACCACCAATAATATCTGGTGTTATACCAATTGTGATTTGAGCCCTTGGAGCAATACCTAAAGGACTCCCTCAATATCTGGAAATTTTGAATTTATCGGACCTGAACACCTTAATTTTACAAAAGAAGACCTTGCTTGGAACTGCCTCTATCCTCAGACACTACCTTAATCATTCTTAGGTTCTTGGTCAGAACTTGAATTATTAAGTTTCCACCAGTCTTTGACTGTGAATCTAATTGTAGATTACCAATAATAATAACATCAACAACAACGCACTAGGGTTCGCCCATTACATTTCAGCAGGTTCAGTAGGCACTGTTTTAGCTTGCTGACGGTTACCCCACTTTATGCTTTATGATGAAGCATAAAGAATCACAGAATGAATGAGTTGGAAGGGACCTCCAATCTACACCAACCCCTTCTCACTGGAGGAATCCAGTAAACCAACCCTGACAAATGGCCTTAGGGACCTCATCTGGTGCAGCAAAGTGCCTGAGAAAATTTCTTTCAAAATAATGAAGGTTGGCCACGAAGCTGCATTTAGATTCAAGAAACAAGCAATGCAAAACCTTGAGTTTGAAATCCAACAGAGGCTCTTTTCATTGCACCTACAATATGTCAAACTGAAGAAGGAGATCTAAGGAACGCACGCACATAAATACTGCTTTGTCATGCCGTCATTTTCAAGCAGAGCTCCTGACCCAGGTTGTGCAAGGACAGAGCAATAAAACAGAAGTAATAAAAGTTTAGGGAGTTCGCCACAGCATAGGGATGACAGTCATCCTGATTCATTTCCAAGGAGGGCCCAATACACTGCAGTACTGTGATCTGCCCACCTATAGGAAAATTATTCTTGTACTCAATCCATTCTACCTTGAACTCCTCCATCTTGGGCTGGAACAAGAATATCAATTCTCTTTTTAAAAATGAAATACTAAAAAATAGGGTTGCAGACAACTCCAGCTCAACTACTAATAACTTCACAGAAGCATCCTTATACTTTGGTTCGCACCAATGCCCAAAGTAGTTTGCTACTGCCTTCTCCTGATATTCCCTGACGTCTCCCATCCAGACCCTAACCAGGTCCAATGGGCTGATCAGCTAAAGAAAATGCCTTTGGTCATTAAAGCAGCACATCCATAGAGGGGTGTGTGTGTGGATACATGTATACACATGTGCACGCACCCACCCACCCTCCCTCCCTCCAAAAATGTTTAGTTTGTCAGAGTTGTAAGCAAAACTCTTGGATATTTTTACGTTTTGTTCCATGCTGAGTAATATTAAACACATGCAAATTAATACCGATCTGGTGAGAGTACATGGGTTTCATTACGGCAATAGCACTATTAAATGTGCAAAATGTGTGCCCTCATTCATTTAAATTCCTTGATGGAGCCTTTTTTCTTAACTCACCTTGAAAATTTGCTGGGTCCTTCACCATCTTCATCGTCAAAGTCCATTCTGGGAAAAAAGAGTAATATTACAATTATATGTCCATATTTGGAAGAGTCTACAAGGATTAAGGAAAGACAAGGTAAAATATGCATTATTTCTGATAGTGCCTCCCCTTCTGCCTTTTCTCTACTCATTCGTGGTGCTTATTTTAGTTTCAGTTCTTATTTTTTGTTAAGAGTTTATGAACAGTCCTGTCCCTTCTTTCTTCGGAGCAAATTTAAAACAGCCAAAATGAGATGTCTGCAGCTCTCCAAATATTCTGGACTCCAAATCCCATCAGGCCCAGCCTGCATGGCCAACAGCAGAGAGGAGGGAAGCTGGGCTCTGACATCCATAAGGCCATTGTCTCTCCTGAATGCCCCCTCTCCACGCAAAGGATTCTTTTTCCTTGACCCTGCCCACCTTTTGGAAAGCAGAATTGTGGACCACCGTTGACTTCCATTGGTTTCCTTTCCGCTCAGGTGACCATTAAAAAGGAAGCCGGAAGTTAAGTGTTTCTATTCTGGTGAAGCCCTCCTGTTATTTAACAGTTCTTGCTTTGTGTGTGCTCAGCCAGATGGTCTCCAAAGCCTGCCCTGTTTCTTCACCCGTTACTTTCCTTGTCACCTAGCCAAAGAAATCCAGTGCTTCCTGCCCCCATCTTAACTTTCTTTGAAAACAAAACTCCACCATCATCATTGCTATCATTGTAATCCTTTCCAAATTGCCCTATTTTTGTCACTTGCTTTGAATTCTGAAGCTTGACAAGAATGTTTGAGGGTTGATTCAAAAACATGTGCTTTGCCTGGAGCAAGGATCATATAATCTCGCTCCATAGATCACCTTTAAGAGGCGAGAGTAGGGGGAAAATTCAGACTGTGCTATGCTGTTTCTCAATTGCATTTTAATTTTGTTTAAATTCTGATCACATTTTGTAATTCCATTATTACATATTTCTGAGCAACAGTTACAGGAAGGAAGACACTCATCTTCATTGAAATTAAGCTGTTCTTTCAGATCTTCTTAATTCTTTGGTGTTTTGATGGTCATTGATTGGTGGAGAAACAGTGACCTCCAGTGGTCACTTGGCTAGCTAATAAAATGAACAGGATTCACTGTCCACTTACTAATGGATCTGTGTCTTCCACAAAGGATAGAAATGCTTTCCCCACCCATCTTCTTTTTTTTCCTGAATTTTGTAACCATCTTGCTTGATTAAACGTTTCAGAGAGCTCACAAGCTGTCAACTATTTTGTAAACACTCAAGTGGATTTTTAAAAAAAGGTTCTACAGCAATATAGATTTTGGAATTTTCCTTCTTTATGGTCATTCAAGCTGCTTATCTTTTTCCATCTGCATTTAACTCCTCTGCAGATCAGTACATGAATATGAAATCAAACCAAGGTTAAGCTTTCTATCCTTTACAAATATTCCCCACCATTTACCCAGCATTTCCTTCAGGTAGATGTTCGGCTTGTTTGTTTCATTTCCTGCATACCATCTTTCAAAAAGACTGCTCCTTTCACCATGAAATTTCATGGCATATTATTTATTTGATGCAAGTGAAGAAGAAAAAAATCCATATATCAAGAAATAGGATTGCGTCTTACTTTACCTCTGAGCTAAAAACACAAGAGGGAAACTATTAATTCAGGAGCAGAAAACCTTTTGGTGGCTGGGGGGTTGAAGTTAATCTTTTTGGAAGGGATGAAGGCTTCATTGCAATGATGCAGAGTAGACAGGACCACGATTTTCTGGATTTTCCTGGATTTTATTTTGGGGAGGGGGGAGAACTTGAAGATTTTTAAAAATGATGTTAACCCTGTTTAAAGTTTACAGTTTTCATATGCCTTTTGTTTCTTTTCTTTTTTTACAGTCATCCATAGTTGATCTGTATTAATCCGTTCAGTTGGAGCCACGTTTGCCTTTCCAATGCTGAACAGCAAGTCTTTTGATTGAAAATCCATTTTCTTTGCTCAGAAGTCAACTCCCATATGATACAGACTACAAACATCTGAAAATATTAAATCTCAAAGTTGAGTGTATACATATAAGTGCTTCTTACCAAAAAAGAACAATATATTTAAATAAAGCACATTTAATTTCACTGCATCTCCAGCAACATAAATGCAATGAGGTCATTTCTAAAATATCTCTTGCTTAAAAGGATGTTATCTAAAAAAATCTATTGACATTTTTGAGGTTTTTTTTTTAAACACACCTTATTTTAAAATTGGTTAAATAAAGCATGCAAAAGAAAAAAGAAAAAAAGAAAAAGATATACATATACATATGTAAAGGATTTTGAAAAAAAATTAAAAATAAAGCAAACAAAAAAGATTATTATAAAAAGGGCATTCTGGTAGCCCCCCCCCTTTCTTTTTCTCTCCCCCCTTTTTCCCCCCAGCCACTAATTGCTACTTGAATATTTTTATACCTTACTTTGGACATGATTACTCATTTCTGCTTGGATCATTTTAATTGTTATTATTTTAAACACCTTTGTTTTTCTTCAAAAACCATAGTCTAAGTGTCTTAGCCTGTCTTGCTCTGTGATATGTTGCAACCATTCCTGCTTGAATATGAATCCTGAATTGATGGCATAGTTTCTCTTTTCCAGCGTTGGGCGAAATTGATTCTCGCTACTGTCAGCATCTCTCTCAACAAATTATGATACCTTTCCTTTATGTTCTCTGGGATCATACCCAATCAAATTATTTGTGGTTTTACTTCAGATTTTATTTTCAGAAATTTCTGGATGTTTTGGTCTACTTCTTTCCCATACTTCCAGGGTTGTTGTTTTTTTTAACATAACCACCACATAGGATAAAATGTTCCTTCTTTGTCGTGGCACGTCCAACATTTATTGGTGTATGATTTATCCATCTTGTGATCCCACATCTTCTTTTCCAAATGTTGGAAGATCCATCAGAGAATGACCTTCAGGGACCAGACCTGTGTGCTAATGAAGTCCAGCACTGCAAAGGATCCCCTCCCACCTCTTAAGTCCTTGGTTACAGCATTTTATTTCTTTCATTCTCTGTCCCAAATGAAGTGTTGCCTGTGCAAAGCTGGCCCCCATCCAGCATGCATGTATGTTTAGGTAGGTGAGAGAAAAAGAGGGAAAGTGAGTAAATGAGAGAGACGGGGGCTCCATCTTGAAAATGTCCTGTCCTTTTCCTGTATTGAGAAACCTCAAATATTGTTTGTCTTTATTATTTTTTTCTTTCTGCCTTCTTGTTTTCTAACTGACCACTATTACAAAGCGAATCACTTATTGACCCCCCTCATTGTTCCTGCTACTCCTTCCTCAACTTTATCCCTTGAACTGAATATGCTACTCTCTCTGAATTCCCACTTCATCTTTCTCTCATTGGACTGAATCAGCTGCTAAATTTCCATAGACTGTTAACTGCTTCTTATCTGACGGCCTTGAACGCCATTAGCCTCAACTATTCTTTATGCTATATTCCCTACCGATTGCCCACTGTGCATTACCTGATTGCCATGTACATCACCAGCCCCCAGCATTATTTAATACATTTCGTTCTTTGATTACAACTTCGTTTTTGGACCCCCAGATCACTTAGTGTTCAAGGCCCCAAGACAATTGGCGCTGTAAGTCCCAATTCACAATCTGTCAACTGTTTTACTGCCCCTGTGATAGGAAGCAGCATTGCTCTGATACCATGATTTCATATTTTCAAACATGACTGTTGCGATGTAGCATTTCTCCAGAGTATTGGGGGAACCTTTCAGGGGTGCCTTTGGGAAGGTCCATTTTAAATTTCTTATAATTCCCAACAGGTGTACTAAGGAAAATTAAGAGGGCCATATCTCAAAAATAGCTGCCAGCCACTCTGTAAACTTTACAGAGACAGAAATTAAAGGGAACAGTGGAACTCCAACAACAGAAGGGGAAGGGGAAGGGGAAGGGGAAGGGGAAGGGAGAGGAGGAGGGGGAGACTGATACATTAAAAAAAAAGCATTCAATGTCACTTTGAAAAGGTGATGCCTACATACCCAGAACGCCTCTTTCCCCCTCTGGCAGGCACGGATCCTGCCATTCTCACTTGGCCGGCAGCCATGGGTGCCACTGGCAATGTCACTGACCCAGGTATGTCCGATGCCATTTCTGTAACACAGAACATAATGTACCAGCTTAAGTTCATAGGCAGTTGGGATGTGCGGCTGTGGCACATCTGGGATTTTGATAGATTGTGGTGGGCTCATTCACAAAATGGTTGCCACAGGAGACTTCCCAATTTACAGAATGGCTGCCAAGAAAAGTACCTTGCCTAGCCATGAAAAAAGGGGACTGGAATGGTAAAATTCCTCTGTTTTCAGGGGTGAACCACCCTTTTTTAATTTAGAGGGAAAAGTGGAAGAAGTTGGCCCAGAGGTTCATTTTTAAGGTATCCTTCTCTAATAAATATCAATGAAATCTGAACTGAGCCTTCCACAGCCTTGAGTTCTCCTTAAAGACAACCATTCGGCAGCTTATTTCAATGCAATTATGGGACTTTCATGTAGACGCGTGGCCCCCTTCCATTGCTTTGAGGAGTTTTGACTGGTGTGTTATAAACTGGAACAGAAAGAGTGAAACAACTCATATAAAAAATTCAAGGTGCCAGGGTAGCCTAGCTCTGATGTGTCTATAAGGCATTCCACAAATGCAGTTCAGAACCAATGAAGTAGTATATCAAATCCGCCATTTTTTTCTCTCTCTCTCTCCAAAAAAAAGAAAAAAATGGAGGCACATTCAGGAAGGTGAATATTATTCCTTGGGTATTTTATCATTTCTCTCTTCCAGGAGACTCTGGTGTACAAGACTTTGCAAGGGGCCACATGCAGCCCTGGGTCGCATGCTATAGGCTCCAGTGCTGGGAATGGGTGTATTAATCTATCCACTTTTCTCTTTTGTAACATATACAGTATGCCTGTTACAAATACAATTACTTCAAACTTCAGTGTTGGTTCCTGGTGACTGCCTGCAATAGTCCCTGCAATTTTCTTGGCAAGATTTTTGGAGATAGTTTGCTCTTGCCTCCTTCCTAGGGCTGAGAGAGAGTGACTGGCCCAAGGTTACCCAGCTTGCTTTGTGCCTAGGTGGGACTAGAACTGACGATCTCAGGGTTTGTAGCCTGCTGCCTTAATTGCTACACCAAACTAGCTCTCTATGCTAATCTTAGCAGCCTTAAAGAGTTATACATTTAGGATTCTTCCTGTGCATCCTACATTCAGATGAATCGTGGTTAATATCAACACTGACTCAAAGGAACCAAAACAAAAAGATTAGTATGTAGTAAATCTGTGATTTACCTGTTCTTGATTCAGCAGACTTTGGATACAATTAAAAAAAAAATCATTTTACTCATATGCAAAATCTCATTTGCTTTTTAATGGACATTCGGGTCTAATGGACACCTCTTTCTTCCATCAGTCCGTTAAATCAAGGTCCACTATATTAGCAACATTCTATGCTTTCATTTTTTTCTCAAAATCCATGATATTGCTGAGTTGTTAGGTCTTAATGATATTTATAAGCATTCTAATAAAAACAATAAATGAGTCATAAAAGTTCCATATTAAACCAGCAAATTAGTTTGAATGCAACATTTACGTTTTATTCTGACTGCAATCGTTCAGACACTTAGGTGAGGCAGCAGTATGGAAGAATACAACTGAATGCCGTTTGCTGAGGAATAGTTAATGGAGAAACAATAGGCCAATGGCTATTTCTTAATGTTTTCCTTTTTATATTATGTGTTCTTGTACATTTGTTAGCTGCCCAGGATCTCTTTGGAGCCAGGTAACCTCAAAATCTAAGGAACAATTAAAGAGAATTCCAAGAATCAGAATGCTAGGCTTTCTGCACATCTTGTCTCATCCAGTATGAATGTTCTTACAAATAATTCTTTGAAATGTATGAGAACGTTACAACACCATTTAAAAAAAAAAAAGGTCCCTTATTTTTCAGCATTCCATGAATTAGCAATTCCCACCCAACAACTCTCCACTCTACATGAATGTCAAGAAGAAATCCAGATACTTTACATTGTAAAGGAGATTTTTAAAATACAGTTTTAACCCATGCCAGATATATCACCTCTACCATACAGTGAGAGGAAGAGTTTTATCATCAAATGCAAAAAGAAAAGGAGGAGGAAGACAGAGAAAAACACATGCTTTCATAAAGCCTAAAACAAACGCGTTCATAAAAACGTACACTGTACAAAATAATGTTAACCATCTCCTTTCACATGGTAAGTATTGATGTAACCCTCCCAAAATTCTGAGATCTTTAAAGGCTGGTTTGTGCAGATAGAATTTAAAAGAATTAGATCAACAGATTATAGCAAATGTCCAGTTCCACCCCTCCACATTAATCCTCAACACCCTTCAATAAGTCTTAGCCATGCTCTCAAGTAGACCAATTCTCTCCCACCTGTGCAGAAGCGGTCCCACCAATATGTCCTTTTTCTCTCCTTGAGACTACATCTTCTTTCAAAAGGAATTCATAAGAAATGTCAAAAACCTCTGAGAAGAAGCACAGCTACATTGGTATTCTGCTCAGAACTGCCGTCGCAGATCCGTTTATCGTAACAGCAGCCCGGGATTCAGCAGGGAACAAACATCTTGCATACTGATCAATTTATTTGCAGGGGGAAATCACTGACATCTTCCTACATTAAATATTTGTGTTCTGCAGAGAGGGCAGAGATTGGAATGGAAGAGAGCTTTTGATGGATGATAAGCTGGCATCTACAAGTCCACCAACTAATTGCCAAGGGCAAGGGGCCTATGACTTGGGTGAGCTGGCAACCCAACATCAGATCCCATGACCATTTTTGGACAGGTAACTGATCTGCATGAGATAAAAGCCTTCTTTTTTTTTTTTTTAAGAATAATTCCATTAAAGCTTACATTATACAGATAAAACGAATACAAAGAATAAAAAGAAAAAAGAAAAAAAATTAAAGAGGAAGAAAGAAAAGAAGTAACTTCCCCCTTCGTTCCAGCAAGTATAAACAAATTTAACAACTTATCACCATCTCTTCCAATACAACAATCTCTTCATCTCATATCTCACCTCATTCTCTATAAACAAATCTTTAAAACCTCATCATCCATCTTAATCAGCAAAAGTCCATTAAGAGTTACCAGAAATAACAACCTATGTATTATAAGTTTGATCTAAGAAAGCCACTTGAATTCCATCCTTTTATGTTTGTATCTCATTTTCTATCATAAAACAAATCCCCCAAACCTTATCATTCAAATCTAGTCAGTAAAAATTCAATAAAAATTACCAGACATAACAACATAACTGTTTTAACCTTAATCAGGTAAATTTAAAGCATAGCAAATGAACTCTTTTTCCCATTTAACTCTTATCTATAAACAAAACCTTAAAACATCATCATACAGTCCTGGTCAGGAAACATCCATTAAAATTTTCCAGAAATAGCAACCTATCTATTTGAACCTTGATCAAATAAACCAACTTTATATTCCTTGCCTTTGCTCCCAACCATATTAATCTTTAGTCCCTTCAAATAGTGTCCAAACACTTGATTTCTTTCCATTTTCTCTTTGTCTCTTCTCATAAAATCGCTGACATCATTAATAAATCTTTTTTGTAAATCCAATATAGAAAGGTTATCCAAGGCACTCTTCTAATCTGTTATTTGTATGTCCTTTTTAGTTATCAAAACATCAGCCAGTTTCATTTGCATATTCAATATTTCATCTTTTTCCATATCCTTCTTGTAGCCTGTCATTTTTAAGTCCACATTTGAATCAGTTGCAGTATTGTCCAGTAAAACGTATTCCTCTTCCATAACATCGTTTTGTCTATCAATAATGGGAGAGATCTTTAAAACTAATTTCTGAGTCCATTGTTCACAAATATCTCTCAATGGATCCATTGTTAAAAAGATTTTGCTCCTCCTTTAATAATAATCTTTATTTCCTTCTGGTGCCTTCTAGTGTTCAACCTTCAAAGCCCCATCTTATCATGTTGTTTTTCTTCTGAATGAAGAATGAACATGAATAATTTCCCATGGGAAGGATTCTTATATTTAATTTCAGAATGTTATTAAATCCATCTGGACCCTTAATCCATTCATAACTTTCTAAAATCAACACTCTAATCACCTTTTCATTATTAATTCCAAATAAATAAATAAATAAATCCTTAAACTCGTACTTAAAGATTCTTTCGTAAAGGATTGAAGGAAACTCACCATGAATACCATGAAACTTGCTGTTCTGGAGATTCTAAATATTTAAAAAGCAATCAAAAATTAATTCCAAAGTGATTAAGAAACTTTTTGTCCTTAGAGGCTACATTATGACTGTGAGGTTTGATGTGACCCCTCAATTCTCAGCCACTCAACTTGCAAGCAGATTGCAAAAATGTCAGTTCCTTCCATCTGCTCATGAGGAGCCTCTGTACAGAGCATGTGTGGGCAATCTCATGATCTCTCCTTTCTCCCGAGAGATTTCACTGGCCCAGACATTTCAGCTGCAATGTCATCCCTGCTTCTTCAGGGACATCTTCAGTTTGCTGTGTCCTCACCGGAAGTTGAGATAAAAGCTTTCTGTTACGATCTCCAACTTTCTTCAGTCTGGTGGCTCCTATTCTGTGGGATTTCAGTGCTGACCATGCTAACTTTATGGCATGGAATTGATGAGCTGAAGTCCAACACAACTGGAGGACACCAGGTTAGTAAGAAGTGCTTTGCAGAAATGAAAGCTGGCTGTGCTTTTCTTGCCTAATTTCCAGGAGGAAAGGGGGCTAGCGGAATCTGCCCTGTTCGTTGACTAGTAAGCTATGCCAACATTTGTGGACATCTACCAAACTCTCAAAAGAACAGAGGAATGTTTAATTAGAAAGCAATTTCTGTCCCCATGGTAGGGGAGTTCTTTTAGAAGCAGCAAGGCTTGGGTGGAGGAGACCCAACCCTTCTGGCATAGTATGTATATGTACACACACCTATACATACATACACTTAGCTGTATAACACAACTGATATCATTTGGGGAGGGGAACAGCTTAAAATAGTAGCTAGAATGCTGTACGTGAACAGCAAGAGCAGAATTTCCACTCAGTGTGCATGCTTGACTTGT